CCCCGTCGCCGGGCTGCGGGGAGCTGGCGGGGGTCCACGGCTGTCCCGGTCGCTCCCCCCGCCCCCGCCCTCCCCGCACGTTACGGGATGATGCTCGAGGAGCATTTCCTGTTAATCACGGCGAAATCCGGGACGGGGCAGTCCAGCGAAAGTGCTCTCGCCCCTCGCCCCCCGGGGGCCGCTCCCCGTTGGAGGCTCCGGGCGGAGGGCGGGGGGACGTCGGAGCGGGGAGCCCCCGGCGGGTCCCGGTCCAGGCGGGAGGAGCTCAGCGAGCGCCGCTGGGGACAACCCCCCTAAACCCCTCTCACTCGTGTAACACCCGTGTAAAGAGCTTTAGGAAGCCGAGGCACCGTCGGGGGCTCGGCCTCCTGGGAAGCCCCAGGGGCCACATGGATGGATGGGAGCTCTGGCTACTTCCCAGAGTCCCAGAAAATACCATGATTTGTCTCATTCTGTAGATTTTAACCCCGCCGGGCAATCGGGGGGAGGAGGGGGGTGAGCAGCATACTTCTCCTCTCTAGTCTATTAGAGCCGTTACATTAATTAGTGTTTACTCCAGACTAAATACAGCGAGAGAGATAAGAGTGGCTGCGAACGAGGCATGCTTTCTATAGATAACCATGAACTAATCTGATCTCCTATTGTTCTCCGCTCCCTTTGCGGCCGCGGTGCCGGGCCTCGGCCGATGGGATGGCGATACCGGGAACGCGTGTCCTGCGGGGGAGAAGCCCCACGGTCCTACGGGCTGGGAGGAGGAGGCACCTCATAACCCTGATTATTTCAGGAACTGACTTTCTCTCCCTGCCTTCCCTGCTTTTCAAACCTCATGGAGGATTACAACCTAGTTTTCCAATATAATTTTTTTTTTTTCATAATTTTTATTCCTAAAGGCAAGAAAGAGGAGCAAATTCGACCCCCAGGCTGGCTTATGGGGGGATACGAATGGCACCCTCTCCCTCCTTTTTCAGCACTGTTGCTTTTTTTCAGAATCTCCAGTTGCCAAAGACTGTCCATTAACAGTCTCAACAAAGTACAGAGTAATAGGTGCCCACAGAAACCACCTTCTGCTGCCTTAGTGGGTGCTTTTGTGACAAAAAAAAGCCCATAAACCCTGATACAGTTTGAGACGCCACCATGGGACACATCTGCCGTGTTTCAAATCTTGTAACGACAACTGTTAGTAACAGGTGGACTCCTTTGTAATTTTTTTAAGCTTATTAAGCACGGCAGCTATAATAAAGCTTAGGTCCCGCCAGTGGCGAGGGGGTGGGAGGGGGAAGGAAAGCAATCCAAGATAACATTTTTGTATTTCCAGAAAAAAAAAATCAAAATACCATCTTTAATATTAGGAAATCCTGAAGTGATTTTAATATGACTAGACTGAAGTCCTTTATTTCTCATCAGATTTTGTTGGAATTGCAAAGAAAGCCATTGAAATACCACTTTAAACAATAGCGGCAAAATGAATGCCGTCACGCAAATACCACTTTCCATATTTTCCATCCCTCTGTGCACACACCTGTTCAAACCAAAGTTTGAGCTAAAGCCACCTACCCCCCAGCCAGCAGCTGGTGGGGTTTGGGGGTGCAGCCTCAGTGCAGATTATGGGGGTGTGGAAATTGCACAGCGACAGCGGGGAAGGGGGGGGTAACAGCCAGAGGGAGGGGAAGAGGAACCGATCCTAGGGAACTGGCTAAAATAAAGCAAATGCAACCCCCAAAAGTGGTAGAGGAGCAGCACTGGAGAAGACAGATGTGCATCCTACACGCTGCTGGCAGCTGCTCACATCTGCTGAGCGGGGAGAGGAGAAAGAGTGCCTTTGAGGAGAAAAGCCAGAGATGGAGAGAGGCTACCCACTGCCTGCAGGGACCTTCCAAGCGCCAGACAACAGAAGGACTCCTCGAGGCCCGTTTTAATGGCCTGCAGCCTTGTTCAGTGTGAGGGGTGGTGGGTTCTGCCCCCGCTGGGTTTGTAGGAGACCAGCTGCTGGGCTCAGATTCTAGGTGCTGTACAAACACGTACAGAGGGACCACCCTCTCGCAAAGAGCACAGCCCTGTGTGCAATCCACACCTCGAAAGCACGGGCAGCCACAGGAGAGGAATGGCCCGGTTCCTTCTTTTAACCAGTAATTTCTCTTCCAGCCAGTGCCCCGTCCTCAGCACCCGCCGAACCTCCGTGACCTCAGAGATGCTCTGTGCATGTCGGGCACAGCACCCCCCTCACCCAGAGCTGCAGCTCTGCTCTGCAGACGTACCCACCGCACAACTCGCTCTATCTCCCGCTGCCTGCCTGGGACACTTGACCCCGGGGTGGTTCCTTCCCCTGCCTTTACTCCAGTCCGTTAACAGTCTCACAAAGCAGGGAGTAAGAGGTGCCCACGGGAACCACCTCCTGCTGCCGCGGGTGTCGGGCAGAGGAGCCCAGAGCCCGGGGTGCCGGTGGCACAGGGCAAGGGGGAGCAGGAGGAGGCGGCAGGGGAGGGAAGACCCCACGGCTGGGCCAGGACACCCGCCCCTCCTCGCCGCGTTTGCCCCACGGCGGTGGCGCAGAGGGAGAGGAGGGGGCGACCGGCACGGGAGGGCGGCTGCGGCCCCCGGGGGGGACGGGAACCAGGGCGATGGGGCGGCGGGGCCGAGCGCCCTGCCCGGGGGCTGCACCGGGGCGGCCGGAGCCTCCCTGTGCGGGCAGGGCCCGCCTCACCGCCCCGGCAGCGGGGCCGGCTCGGGATTTAATCCGGTTACAGGGGGGGGATTAGCGCGGGGGTTTAAAGGCCGGGGCGGCGCGGGGG